TTCAGAAATTAGTTTGTACGATGATGGAGAAATCGTTCCTCGTCCGTGTGGATCACTTGAAAATCTCAATCACGGTAATTCACTATATTGTCTGTATTGTATGTTTGTTTGCTTTTCCCATCCCAGCAATTATAAACACAATAAATATTAACAACAAAATTAATATTGCAGATGTTGCACCCTTCAGCCGATGCATATATTCGGCCAAGGAAAGAGGTGGGGCTTTGCTTATTCAATGATAAAAATGATAACTGGGTTGTCGTTCCTGCCCTTAGTTTGGGAAGCATCATCTTTGAAAGTGGTTGGCGTACGTTTCTTCGCGACAATGGAATAGAAGAGGGGGACACCATCGTCTTTAGGCATGTTGCTAGGGATATTTTTGAAGTTATTTTTTTTATAAGAAGGGAAGGCATAAAATCCGCTCCTGCAAAGAAAGATGTACCACCCTATCACGACCCAATTGATTTTATGACTTAGTTTATAAATTTGTTTTTTTTTTTAATTTTGTTCTATTGTTTTAGTGATATTTGAAATATATATATATATATATATATAATGTAATGGGACGTATTGCAGTTTAGATTCTATGGCGATGCTTTAATGGATTGCACTTTATCTTATTTTATATTTAATTTATTTATCTACTATTTGATCTTTGAATATGGAGCTATTTAGATCATGATGAATCCATGTGTGTTTACATATTTTAGCAAAATTAATGTATGTATCTGATTTGGTATGATTTGCAAAGTGAAAATAAGGTATATATGAATGAAATCAAATTCAATTTTCATTGATAGTGTTGTTCTTTTATAAGAAACTTGACAAAGAGTCCAATTTATAGTAATGGATAAATATGTTAGGAAAATAAATGCATATATCTGATTTGGCATGATTTGCCAAAATTATATTATTTACATACTCCTTCAATGCAAATTTACCAAATCAGCGATTTAGAAACATACGTCAACTACTACTAATATATTCAACATATATTTACATTTATATTAAATATGGTAATTTCGTTTGTAGAGCCATCATGGACATCGGGATACACATTACGCCTCAAATATCTCAACGGATTGTGATCTCGTTATACACAAAAAATTAACCCACATTTTCTACACACTGCTCCGTAACGAGGAAAAAAATAAAAAAATTTACCTCCATCTTCAGAAACATTCATATTGACAAAAGGGAACGTCATAATCTTACCACAACTGAAACCATTACCAATTGTGGCAGGAGGTAATATTTTAAGAAATGTCTGCTTTTGAAGAGGTACTTATTGTTGTTTGTAATTCATATTAATTGCTTGTGTAATGAGATTTATATTGTCGTCACAATGTTTTATTGTAAAACGATATAAAATTCGAACCTGTAGGCTACACCTGCTAGTAGTTCCAAAAGAAGAAGTAAAGAAGTGCTTAAATCACCAAGTTTTTCAATGGACGACACAACCGTATTGCATAGAACAAAATTGAGGAAAATGTTCGGAATCAATAACATGATGTCTCCTAGCCAGTGTCATGCTTTAGACAAGGTTGGATTTGGGACATTCTCCTGGATGAACGTAACATGCCTTGATAAAAGGTTAGTGACTATGTTGATTCGAAGGTATGACCGGGCAAAAAGAAGTATTACGTTTGGAGGTGAGACAATTCAATTGTCTCCTAGTATTGTGGAGAAACATTTAGGTTTATCAAGTCAAGGAATGATAGAACGTAAATCTGTGGCCAGTAGAATGATGTATTGTAACTTATTTTCTGGTAAAGAACGACAATTGGTTGGATTTACAAAACTTTATACTATGGTGGCAAATTGTGAGACAGATGGCACTGAATTCATAATTCCCTACTTGATGTCGCTTTTCACGACAGTGTTGCTTCCACGTGTTAGAGATACACCTCTTGATTATGAGTTTCTAAACTACTTGGTTGACTTAAACGCTCCAAGAATACAATTGGTGTGAGATAATGCTGCGGAAGTTAGGTGCGGTGCTAAGTCCGTGAAATGCAATAATACCACGTATGTCACAGGATGTATTCTATTACTGCATGTACAATATTGTTCTAAGCATCATATGTTGTTTAATTGTTGTATACCATATCTTCTACATTTTATTTTGAACAATTTTAGGTGGTTTTACTTGGATTTGTGACGACATCATTTCCAATTGTCGGCAAACAATTGCATAAAGGAGCCCCTTATTTAGAACAATGGAGCCATGAAAATATATCAAGAGCAATTCATGTGTTTAAACACATGGAAGGTTATGATGAGAATTTTGTAAGTTCACGTGTGGATGTCCAGATGCATTTATGATTTTTGTTAAAATGACCATTATCACAAGAATAAAGTACTATTTTGTGTTTTTTTATTAATTTTTTTTGTTTGCATAATTGGAAAGTTAATAAGCAGAGGGATGAAATGAAGATGGATGAAAGTGTCTCCAAGGCTTCTATTCAGATTGATTCAACGTTCCTTTCAGATGTAACACACAAGCTCATTGAGCAATTAATGATTGTTAATCAGGGGGTATCTGGTATAATATCTTTGTTGAAAGATAATCGGCACATACTTGATAAACGTGGACAAGGTGAACATAAAATCGGAGGTAAAAATGTACAAGATAAAATGGATATGCCGAAGACTGCCTCAGAAGAATCGTTTGATGAGACAATGAAACCCATCAAGTTGGATTTTGATGCTTGCTCTTCAGAGAAATACATCCCCTCTGCGTCTTCCGACACGAGAAAAGACCTGTTTGAATATTTTAAAGAAATAACAGTTAGTGATCATAATGCGTATGAATACGTTTTCGGACATGACCTTGATGTTTCGTAAGTAAACGGCACCACTGTGTATTACATATGTGGATGTTAGTTATATATTATAACAAATTTGCTTGCCAATTATACATTGACATTACTGTATATGTTAAGCACAATGTTGATTGAGTATGACGGCAGGATGACCACGAGGGCAGAGATGTTAACCGTTGAATATCCACACTGGTTGAGAAGTCCGGTGAATAGATATAATTCTTAAAATTGACTTGCACACATTTAAATAATATCACAAGTAATTCATTCTCTGTGTAGGTCATTGATTTTGTTGCCATTCATGTGTCATTGAATCGGACCCCAGAAGATAGTAAAAAAAGCAACTGGGTTTTACCGGCATCTTTCAGCGTGAGACTATTAAAAAATATTATCATCTTAATAATTTTCCTATGATGTAGTATATGAATATCGATGATCATTGCAGGGCCTGGCTTTGTCGTGTCACAGTGACACCTCCATTCAAGCAAGGTATTTTCGAGATGGAATATTCAGCGGTCGTGCGAACGAATGTTTGAGTATAACGATTCCGATATCGATGCCAATACGCATCGGTACATGTATGTTGTTGATATTAAAAATAATGTTATTCAAATCTACGACACCTTACGATCAGAACATACAAATAAGTCGAGGATTTCAATTGTAACGGTATGTTGTTTAGTCATGTTAATGGTACTGATATTATTCATGAGTAGATAAAGCGACTGAAGTTGATTATATCTTTGCGGGATGCTGATGGGTTCATTGATAAAAATATTGCCACCACGTACAAATATGTGATCGACCCAAATGATCCCCAACAACGGAATGGGTACGTACATTATCCGTTTATATATCACAAACAAAATTATTTTGCAATCTTTACCTATGTGTTGTACTTTTCTTACTTTTCATTGGTTCTTTGGCAGATACGATTGCGGTCTATATGTGTGTATTCAGATGTTATGTCATTCCACTCCATCAACAAAATTAGTTTGGCATGCAGTTACAGAGGTAATGACAAATTATCAGATGGCTTATTCATGTGCAGATTCAAATAGTAATATTTATTATTATTATCATTATTTTTTTTCAAAAAAAACAAGAGGAATCTATGGAAGCAAGTAAGAGGGTGGCTGCCACACTTTACACTGCCAAATACAACCAAGCAAAAAAAGGGTATGTAACACATTTTGATATAAGGTGCACATAAATTAAATTGTTTATACTTTCAATTGTTAATGGTTTTTGTTATCAGAATTAGTAAAAAAAAATATGAGATAGATAACTAATTCATGTTTACTATTTTTTTTACATTTGTTATCAATACATATGTTAACGTTGCACTATACTGTATGTATGAATGTATTTTCGTAGGGCTATGATTGCGATCTTCATTAGTAGCCGGATAGAGGCAATGAAGTCCACAATGACAAGTTCTATGACTCAACTTCAATAACTATGGATACCCTCTCAGGGCTATAGTGGTATGCCGGTGAAAAACCATTCGAAGATGTTGAGGCTCTTTACTTTGGTCGTCATCATTCTTCCTATTCAGTTCATAACATTCTAATCACGACAATTGAAGAATTACGAAATTACGCATATAGTTATGTCTCCGTTGGTCGGGGGCAATTGATATCGAAGTTGAATGGGTTTGAGACTTTGAGCCATATGAACCATCATCATCGATACTGAATCGTCAACTGCAGTTTTATATGACCATGAATTGTGATGATAATATGCTATGTTTTGGAGACTATTATGAACTGATCTTGGTGTTATGGTGTTTTTGGGATTTCGAACAAGTATTGATGTTTATGTTTTTTTTTTTTTTTAAATGAATTAATGTGTTTTGTGTTCTGCCTTCAAGTGTTTGGGATTTGGATTTTGAATACATGTGTTTTGTGTTTTGATAATGAAATCATGTGTTCTGTGATTTAGAATGTTTTGCAAATGAAGTTATATTGTTCTGTGATTTAGGATATTTGCAGATGATCAGTTTTTAATGTGGAGTGTGCTATGTGCAGTGTGATCAAATAAGATAATGGTCTATAGGAGGATTCCAATTCTACCAATAACATGAATAGTTTATCAATTCATTACTTTAAAATAACATTTCATAGGAGGATTCCAATTCTACCAAACATACTCACGACAAGATAATGGTCTTCTCACAACACACTCACAAAATACATACTTCAGTTCAACATCTTAAGATAATGGACATGACCATTTCTAACAAACACACTCACAACAAGAACTAAAACAACAATCAAACAAACCATAAAAACACTAATTTTCCTTTCAAGGTTTTTCACTTGAGTTATGGTCTTCTCAAGAACCAAAATCATTTCAACATTCTTGTCATTCTTGTGACAATTATCCTCAACAACTGCAACTTTTTCTTCGCGATCCTCTTTCAAACTCCATCCGTCATTGTGAAATTTTTCCATGCCCCACAACTTTTTTTCCAAATCATCTTTTTGAGCCGTCAATCTTATGAAACATCTCCTTTGAAACTCAGACAATGATTGATCAATCCATTCAAAGAAGAGACAATCATTCAGTATATCAATAAAATGCAAATTTCAAGATTCACATTACAGCAAAAAAAATTACATAATGAACAAGATTCAGTTCCATTCA